AGGAACAATCATTGGTAGCTGTGACTTATACACAGCATGTCTATTACAAATAATGTTTTATTTAAATCTTTCAGAATGGAAACCTTTGGGATAATAGTATTGTTAAGGAAGAGTATAAAGAGGAGGATGAGGAGTATGGAGTGATGGAGGAGATTTCAGAAGGACACAAGGATATGATGGAGCCACCTAATACCAGGAACCCACCAGAGAGATGTCCCCGTCCTCTGTATTCCCGGGATTCCACACAGGAAGGTCACACCATCCCTCACCATCATCAGGTAGAAGATTGAGAATCACTGATAGTTCTGATTTATACTCGGGTTGGTTGTTGCATTGAATGTTGTATTTTATTTTTCAGAGTGGAATCCTCGGGGATGATAATATTGATGTTAAAGAAGAGCATAAAAAGGAGGATGAGGAGTATGGAGTGATGGAGGAGTTTTCAAAAAGGCACAAGGATGGTATGGAGCCACCTAATACCAGGAACCCACCAGAGAGATGTCCCCGTCCTCTGTATTCCTGGGATTCCACACAGGAAGGTCACACCATCCCTCACCATTACAAGGTTGGTGGGACAGAGCATGGACTCATGGAGATGATGCGATGTGATGTCACAATAATAAAGCTTTTTTTTTATATTTTATTTTTTCTATAATTTTCTTTGTTTAGTGGGAAGATCCGATAGATATAGAAGTTGATGTCAAGTCAGAAGAAGAAGAGGCGTATGTGAGGGATGATCAGCAGTCTATGGAGGAGGATGGAATAACGGGGACATTTATAGAGGAGGACACTCCTACAGAGATCAGCACAGGTGGGTCATGAACACTAAATCCATTCCTCCACCCATACTGCTCACTGATTGGTCCAGAGTAGGGCGGGGACTGGGTGATATCAGCCTGTAATCCCCTGGTCACTTTCCTGAGCTGTGTTCCCCGTCCTGTATTCCTGGATTTCTCTCGGATAATCTTCCTTCTCTGTGCTGCAGCAGACACAATTTATGTATCTAGACTGGATTTATGGAGATACTGGGGTCCAGCTGGCAACAACATTAGGCATTTCACAATTGGCATTGCTCGACCTAGGCACCTGGGGCATGTGCCTTGGCTTTTCCACCCCATGCTCGGGTCTAGCAAGATCTGACAGATCAATTTTCCCCGGGTTACTTACTGCGTCATTTGCAAGTGCAGTCTCCACTGTAGGTGGCGCTTGTCCTGCAGCTGGAGGGGAGGTCAAGGGAAAGCTGGTTCCTCTATGGTTCCATCAGTTCTCTGGGGTGGCGTCAGGTTGGTTACACTGCATCCAGGTGACTCTGGCGGCCATCTGGAGTCACACAGAGTCTCTTTTACATCCCTGCCCATGTTAGGCATTTTTAAAGCGGCTAGTGTAGCCTCATCCATTTTGCGGTAGCACTCCAGAATCTGTGAAAACGTCTAGGACAGAAGGATGTACACGGCTCTGCCAACATCTCTGCCTCAGATAAGCTGCTGAGAGGCCGGCCCCATGACAAGAGCCCTACAGAAGCGAATAAAAGCGCTACCTACTCTCTCCTTCATTGACACCATAGTGGAGGCAGTAACATGGGAGCAGAAGGATGCAGAAGCAATGGTAGTGATGACCAAGAGACAGGAGCCCCTTCCAATGAGATAGGAAGCCCTGGCCCCATATCCCCTTTCGGCCATGCAGACTGCCCACAGGGAGCTCACCCAAAGCCTTGCCTCCAAGAAGAAGGTGTGATGTCCACCTTCAAACAAGAACTGGTGCACCTCTCCAAAGGTGAGAATCCGCTAAGGAGGGACCCGGATGAGGACCGGAAATGTTGGAGGTGTGGCTGATTCGGGCACCTAGCTAAGAATTGTCAAAAGCAACTGCAGGCTGCCATTACACTAGGAGCTCCTGAGGCTGAGGGAAGATCTCCAGGACCAGCAACACAAGCTCCAACCAGGCCAGAAGCCATGGTTGCTCCCAATCTAGTGGTCACTGCCTTGGTCAACGGTCAAGAGGTCCCCTGCTTGAAGGACAGGGGATCTGAAGTGATTATCATTAAATGTGAATTCTGCACACAAAGATTTGGGACTAGAGACCAACTAGGCCTCTCCTGGCTATCCCTCAAAATGGCCAATAGCCTGCCCATCCTGATGGAGGGATGTTAACCATTAGCCGCCCGGCTTATAGCCGTTTGGCGGCCACAAAAGTGCTGTAGATTTCCGGGGTATATGCCATTTGGCGTCCTCCTGCACATGCGCAGTTCGCGCGGTTGCAGAGCCGCGCAGCGGCGCGATCTGTCACCGGCCGTGTACCTCGGACACGGCCGATGACAGATCTGAGTACTGGCCCCCGTTGCCGGTACCATGTGACCTGCTGTGACCAATCACAGCAGGTCACATGACAGTTGTATACAATGGATGGCTTCATTCATGCCATCCATTGTATACTAGTGCCTAGCTGTGAATGGTCACAGCAGGTCACATGCACATGTCATGTGATTAGCTGTGGCCAAATCACAGCTAAGCACAAAAAAAAAAAAAAAAACTGAATGAATCGATGTCATTCAGGTAAATGCTTGCTTATAGCAAAGTAATTCTTTGCTGTAAGCAAATTGTGTAAAAAAAAAAAAAAAATACTGATCACTTCCCCAAAGTAGTACAATGTTACTATGGTACACAATTTATGTATCTAGACTGGATTTGTGTAGATTTTGAGGTTCAGCTGGAAGAAAAGTGTTGCTTTTTTCCCATAGGGCATTGCTCAACCTAGACATCGGGGGTATGAGCCTTGAAACTCATGTCCAGGTCTAGCAAGATCTCTGACAGAACAATTCTGGGTTTCAGGGTTCCTTGCTCTGTTGTGTGCCAGGTGGAGGGATATGTCTGTATAGTCTCAGACCCAAGTCACTGAATGCAGTCTCAGGAGATGGGAGGCAGCGGTGTGGGACGTCTTAAATAAAAACATTTAGTGCCAGTTCACATATATGCTATTTGAACCGCATCCAATTCACATGCCACGTGAAATAACATTGCTTCCCATGGTGCCTGCTCACATATGTGCAGTGCACTGGCAATGCAGATTGAAAAAGAGTCCTGTCTGATTTCTGAGCAGTGCGGTCCGGTTCAGGTGTGGATTACAGGACATTGACTTCTATGGGAACAGTTTCTGAAAACGCACATGTCATCAGGTGTGTGACAAGATAAAATCCTGATCTGAACCTGATGTAAACCTGACCTGAACTGCTGATCGACTACTGTGTCAAATTAGCTGTGAATCCTAAGCTTCAATCCACACCACACATGTGTGAATCAGCACTTAAGCTCCACTGATTACTGAATGCCAATATTATGAGCTTTGACTATTACATTGTATAAATTATATTTCATATTATGCGGTCCTGACTACTGCCCTGTATACTCTCTGTTGTACATTACACAGTCCTGATACTATAATGTCCTACCTCCTGTATCCTATATAATATGTTGTATGTTCCATAGTCCTGACTTCTTCCCCCTCTACCCACTGCTATATATACACATAATATGGATTCTCTTTTCTTACACCCATTTCCTCCCAGCTGGACATTTTATATCGGATGATGTGATTGGAGCACAGACTTTTACATGGTGATAATAATGTGATAACATCCTCCAACTTTGGACCCTTAAACAGAAAGTGATAATGAGGGAGGAGTCAATACCCCAATGATGGTGGTCTTCAGGATCAGTCCAGTCTTCATCTTGGTTGTTCTCCCCCCATCCTCACTCTCTGACCTCTGGTGGGGCTCAGCCCTGCTGTTCTTCATGACTAAATCATGGACTAAATAAGGAAGTGCAGTACTTCTTGTGTTGGGAAGATGGCGATGAGTGATAGAGGGGGTGGGGACCCTCGTCCTATAATCCCCTCATCACTGTCCCTCCTATAAAAGACAGTTCTGGTTGTTTCCTCACTCTCTGACTAAGGTCCATGAATAAAGAAATGACCTGGTAGGAGATCAGAGGAGCCATTTCCTAGTTCCCTTGAGGGTGGAATTGTAAGCTCCTCAGAGACCAAGCTGCCTGATGTGGGCAGGAGTCCTGGTTTGGGGGAACCAATCAGCTCCTGTCTAGTAATCCTCTTTGTCTTTGTATTTTAGTCCATGGCCGGGAGATGAGGAAAACCTCCGAGGATTGTCTCACTTTGTCTCCAGACTGGAAAGTAGAAGATGAGGACATCACACAGTATAGTCCAGGAGAAAACCCGGCTCCCTCCAATGTCCATCCGGCACCACCCAGTGTAGATGGACCATCGGAT